GGTGACCACCACGTGCTGCGCGCTGCCCCAGGACGAGCGGAGCCCCTGCGCCGAGGAGCAGGTGGGTACTGGGGGGGTATTGGGGGGGGGTCCGGGGCACGAAAACGCATGGTCGATGCTCCTGACCCCCCCCCCCCACCAACCCATTTCCTTCTCCCATTCGCCGCAGCTCTCTCAGCAAATCGATGTCCTCTGCGCTGCCTCACGCAACTCCTGGCGCGACCCCCGCGGCTGCTGTGCGTGGGGGGGGGCGCGAGAGGCTGCGGTGCTTTGAGGAGGAATACCTGGAGGGGGTGACGCTGGGAGCTGCCATTCCTCCCCCCCCCCTTCGGCCAGGAGCCTTAATATCCCGGTAATAAAGGTGCTTCGGTGTCACGCTGCTCCGCGTCCCCCCTCCTCGCAGTGTGGGTGATTTTGGGGAGGGCTGTCGGGGCGTGTTTTTGTGCCTGTGATTTTGTCTGTGTGTTTTCGGGGTGTTGCAGCTGTGTCACTGTTTGTGGATCGGGGTGGAACCTGGCTCGCACCCACGCGCATCCGGGGCGCTCTGTGGATCGCAGTTGCTGCATGCTGCACATGGCCTCGTGTCCCCAGGGTGCGCACAGGGCATCCCCACGTGTGGACAACACGGGGCCTTTGCCCCTCCCCACCCGCACAGTGATCCCTTGAGCTGGATTCCCACTCGTGCTTTTATTATTCCTCGTGGGATGCTGGAGGGTTCTGAGATGGGGGGGGGGGTGTGTCTCCCATTTCTCCGCAGCCCCCGCTCCCCAGTTGGTCCCAGTGTTGCGCAGCGCTCTGTGCTGAAGGAGGCCCCCCCCACCCCCCGCGTTCCGCCGGCTCCACGCGTGACTCCGACCCACGCACCCCTCGGGCGCCCCGGGGTGGGCGGGGCTACGCGGAATGTTCCTGGAAGCGGTCACGTGACCGAGCGAGGGCCATTGGCGGGCGCTGTTGCTGGGCGGGGCCAGAGCGAGGAGGCAGAAATAAAAGAGGGCGGGGCTACAACGCTAACCGGAAGTGACGCAAGTTCCATGGCAATGGGGCGCGGGGTCGCGGGTGGCTGCGTGCGAAGCGGGCCGAGAAGCGCACGAAGCGCGCCGGTGCCCTCCCCTCACTCACAACGGAGCCTCTGCATTAAAACAGACGTTTATTGAGGTCACCTGTGAGAAGAATTTCCTTACCTGGAGGCCACGAGGTTGCTGGCGCTGCTGCCCGGCTCTTTGGTTGCCCCATTCCCCGGGGGAGCCTGAAGCTGTGGGGCACACAGTGAGGGGGTGGGGGGCAGGAATCCCCAGTCATTCTATGGCAGCGCACAGCCGTGGGGCCGCTCAGCCCAGCTCTGAGCTCCTCTCCCTTCCCCACCCCCCCCCAACCACCACCACTCCCTGCCCGCCCCATTTCCCCCCCCTCCCCCGGGCCCCACACGGCCGTGACTTCCTTCTCTGCTTCGCGGAACGCGGCGCCGCTTCTTCGAAAAGCCGCGGGGCGGAGGAAGCCGAGCCGTATCAGCTGCCCCAGGGCCGCGCCTTATCAGCACCGCGGCTTCCAGGAAGCGCAGGTGGCTGCGGCCGCCTTTTGCATGTTGCCATGGCGCAGCCGGCCCAAAACAGCCCTGAAAACCCAACGGCGGTGCTGGAAGAGCAGCCTGCGGCTGGGGGATGGAGCGAGGAGGTGTGCGCAGGCAACGGGTGCGCACGGGGGGGGGGGAAATCCCACCGTGCATGAGGGACTTCCCCACAGCCACGCTGCCCCCCTTGCTTCCTCCTTCTTCAACTTCACAGGAATTGAAACTGAGAGGCAGCAGTTGGTGTTTCAGCCATGGCCAAAGTGCAGAGGCAGGCAGCAGCAGCAGCACAGGGCTGGGGTGCTCACAGCTGAGCCTTCAGCTCCCCATCCTGCTACAGGATAAAGTTTTATGCCACCCATTGAGAACAAGAGACATTTATTGACAAAACTAAGTGCTCCTCCAGCACCCAGGCCGGCCAGACGACAGCCCTGCCTTTAGTTTTCTCCCCACTGGGCATTGCTTGGGCTGCAGTCGGGCAGGTTCCTCACCACCTCAGCCCCGTTCTGCAGGGGTTCTCAGCCCCAACCACAGCACAGCCCAAAGCCCATGAGGAGCCCAGGGCCGGGTGCTGTGCTTGGGGTTGGCACGAGCTGCAGAGCCGAGGCACCGAGTTCTACACAGCTGCAGAACGCTTACATTCAAACATCAGCTTTGCTGTGCTCACTGCTTATGGAGTCAAAATTAAAGGGGAGAGAAGGAAGTAACCAACACCAACTTCCACAACCTCCCAACTGCCAGAAGAGCTCGGAAAAACCAAAAAGATTAAAATAAACAGCAGTCTCAGCTGCTGCCAGGAGGCAGCGAGTGCAGCAGCCACCGATCCCCACTACAACCCCTGGCACTTCTGCTCGAGCACAGAGAAAGGTTTGCTGAAAGCCACCACAGAAGGCTTTGCCACAGAAACTCCACGCAAGGGATGAAGCACAGCACATCCATCAGCAGCTCCACCACATTCAGCCTTCACTTCTGTGCTGTTAGCTCAGTATAGATGCACACATTCTGCAGCTGGACAGACATCTGCAGGCTCTCCGCAGCCTCCCCGCCCTGCGTGGGGTTTTACCTACTTAGAAATGCACTCCCTATTTTTAAACTGCTGGTGTGGCAGGGCGGTGAGAGCAGTCAGATCAGACGGGCCGGCTCTGCCGGGCTGCAGCCGGCTGCGGTTCCCACAGCGCCAGCTCAAACTGCAGGACTGCTCACAGGGCCGCCCGCGGCCTGAGCAAACCCTGCTGGAAGGCAGGGGACAGAAATCACCCCGAGTTCCAGCACGGGCTGCACGCCTCAGCCTTGCACAGCACCGCTGCCTAAAGCCGCGACAGCAGAGCTGTGAGTTCAGGCAGCTGAAGATGCCATTTCCAAAAACCCACAACCACGACTCGGAAGCATCGGCTCCGCAACAGCCGCCGCACCAAAGCCACGAGGATCAGTCCAGGCAGGAGCTGCTGCTGCTGCTCACTGGCTCACGAAACAGATCTGTTTCCTCCGGGATAAAACTGAAGCTGTCCGCTTTGCCCTTCTCTCCTCATGCTCTTGAACGAAGCAGAGTATCAGTCAACTCCTCCACTTTCTGTTCCCAAAGCAATAAATCCTCATTGGTACCCACGATCCGAGTGGAACATACCTTCTTTCTTTGGAAAGAATTGCTCAGGGGATGCCTAGATATTCTCCTGGGGTCAACACGAGTCCAGCTGCATAAATATGCCCAGGAGGAGGTGATCGGCTCGCCAGCTCCCAGCGGAGCCGGTCTGCCCTGAGCTCTGCCCCTCTGCGGCACTGCAGCTCACCGGATCATGTAGGCCAAGCTCGCCCCCAGGCCGGCCACTCCTGCAAAGGCCATCAGCACGTTCCTGATGCTGCTTTCCAGGTCCTCCACTCGGAAGAAGTCGACAAAGCCCTCCTAAGACAAAGAGGAGACAGTTATTCCTGTGCCAGCTGCCTCTTCCCACGGGAAGGAGCAACCCGGAGCGATGGGTTGGCTCCTCACCCACAGCTCCTGGAGACCCGCTGCAGACACAGCCCAACAACTGGGAGCCACACAACTGCAGGCAAACTCGGGGCACCCCAATGTTTTGCTGTAGGGATGCCACCGCTTCTTTAGCAGGCAGGGGGGCACGTGTTTTGTGGGGTCAAAGGCACCGCGTAGCACTGGCGAGGTGCTTTCAGAGAGTGGTTTGAACTGGAACAGTGACTCATCGGCACTTCGCTGACACAGGCAGCTGACACCCAGTGGGTTACGGAAATAGGAAACACCGAATCGTTCCGAAAGCCTCGTGGTGGGCAGTGACTCACCCAGCCTCCCTGGCTCATCAGCCACTCGCGTTTGGATGAGACCAAAGCGTCTGTGATGATCCCCGCCAGCGAGCTGATGCACTTCTCCTGGTTGATGCTTTTCAGGTGTTTTGCAACAAAGGCACCAAATGAGATGAGCGTGACGACTCGGCCCCAGTTTGTTACTCCATCACTGAAAACGTGAGCAGCCACCTCGCACACCGCCTGCAGGTCTTCTTCTTTTTTGATTTCCAGCTTCCGAAGCATTCCTGAAGAGAGATTCCAGCTCAGAGACGGGCTGAGCCACGCCAAGCCACCAGCGAGAGGACGCAGCCTCTGTACCTGGGGGCTGAAAGCTGTGGCAGAGCAGCTGCTGCAGGCCCTGCCACAGGATGAGCAGAGCAGGGACCCCACCTCCACCCCATGCTGCCCTCTGAGATCTCGTGAGGGCCCTGGGGGGCAGCAGGAGGCCGGGGGCAGCCTGGCAGCCCTTCGTCTGAGCAGCCACCTGGAACAGCCTGACCCACGGTGCCCCCTCATGAATAAGCAAACAAGATGAGCCTTTACGAAACTGAAAGGCACTGCTTGTTATTGCTCAAACCAAGAGGAAGCCTCCCAGAAGCCAGTTCCTCCTCTGTACACAGAGCTGCCAGCTCTGCAGAAGCCTCGGTTGCTAACAGCAGCTTGGGTCAATCTGCACACCCTGAGCTCTGCTCGTTCAGCAGCACACCCTCCAATTTAACTGAGGCAGGGCAGCCAACCCCTGGACTTTTCCAAACAGTGCAATGCAGGAAGCGAGGAACAAACCGAATCCCTTTGCATTTAGAAGAGAAACCAACCAACAAACAACAAACTGGAACATGGGAGGTGTTCATCACAAACCAGCTTGGGGGGGGGACGCCAACTCTGCCCCTCTGTGCCCTGATGCACCCACCAGAGCCCAAGGAGTCGCTTCTGAGTTAAACAAATCCAACCCAGAATGGTCACATCCTGCAGGTCCCCAGGGGCTGGCCTTGGAATTACATGAAACCAAGCCAAGAAGGTTGGTTCTCACTGGTCCCCTTCCTCCCCCCACCCCATCCTCAAAAGGAGCTGCTTCCAAGTTACACAAAAACAGCCAAAAATGGTCAGTTCCTGCTGGTCCCCAAGGATTCCGTTCTGAATGACACCAATTCAACCCAAAATGGTTGGCTCTCACCAGCCCCCAAGGACTCACTTCCAAGTTACATAAGACCAGCCCAAAATGGCCGGTTCTCCCTTCCAGTCCATTCCAGCACACCCAAACCTGCAGCCTCCCCAACCACCCCATCTGCTCAGCCCAGCCCAGGCACGGGGGCTATTTTCTGAGGGCTATTTTGGGACCGGTTAGGATCAGCACCTTAAAGCAGCCATGCTACGAGCTGAGGGCAAAGGGGGAGAGGGGGGGGCTTCTCCTACCTGAGTCTGCAGAGACCCGAGCTCAAGGCACAGCCCCAAACCCCACAGCAGTGCAGCCCCAGAGCTCCCTCAGCTTTAGGAGCTCCAAAAAGCTGTAATACCGCAGCAGGAGAGCCCCAGATACCCTCAGCGGGGCAACTCCAGAACTCCCCACTTCTTTAGAGGAACTCTGAACCCTTCATCTCAGCGAGGAGACCCCAAACTTCCTCCATTCCCCCAACACCTCCATACAGCACCACGAGGGACCCCCAAAGCCCGCAGCAGGGCAGCCTCAAGCTCCTCTGCACGGCAACAATGGAAATCCCAAACCCCTCACACACACAGGGGAGCTCCAAAACCCCTCACACCACACCGGGGAGCTGCTCCAAAGCCCCTTCACAACATTAGAGCAGCCCCAAACCCTCCAGTACAGCACCAGGACGATCCCCCACCCCTCCACACCGCATTAAGGAGCCCCAAGACGCCTCCATGCTACACAGGGGGGACTCCCAGAGCTCCGTCAACATCGTGAGGAGCACCAGCAGCACATCAGCAAGGGGACGGCCGCCCTTCAGCCCCGGGGCGCGGCGTGGCCCTGCCCAGCCCCCCCTACCCCCCCCCCAGCCCTTCCCAGCGCAAAGTCCGCTTTCGTTTTCACCCCACGGCCGTTCTGTTCCCTTCCCCCCCGCCCCTCGCTCCCGTTTCCCGTTTCCACGCACCCTGGAAGGCCAATTCGTGTTTCTGCATCACTCCGTCCCCGACCCTCCGCAGCGTTTCCAGCGCTTTCTCCATGACGGCTCCGCCCGTCCTGCCGGGCCGCCCCGGCCCTCCCAAGAGCCCCGGAAAAAGCTTCTTAACGCCGGGCTCGGCCTCTCCGGCCGCCTCCCGGAGGTACCGGAGGATGAGCTCCAAGGAGTCCCGCCGCAGCTCGTCGGGCAGCTCGGGCGGCGTGCTGGGTAACGAATCGCCACCTGGGCCGCGTTCGGACTCGGGCTCGCAGCCGTCCAACTCCTCCTCGGGGCTCCACAGCGCGACGGGCCGCGGCGCGGAGTCCGACGGCAGACGGCGGGCAGCGGCGGAACCAAGCGGAACGCGAGGGGCTGCCTCGGAGCCAATCGGAGCGCGGGGGGCTTCGGCGCGGCCGCCGGCGGCCCACAGCCCCGCGGAACCAATCAGAGGCCGCGGTACCTCAGCGGCGGTGGCGGCCGGAGCGGCGGCGGGGGGCGGTGGGGTTTGATCTCCTGCTGGCGAAGCGGGCACCAGGCCCGGGCCTCCACCGCCGCAGTAGAGGTTGAAGCCGATGACGGCGTTCCGCTTGACCGCAAACATGGCGCCCGACGAGCACCGGCGGCTGATGGCGCGGGAGGGCGAAGCCGGGTCTTTTATGGCCGCGATGACGACACGGAGGGGGGGGGGGGGGGGCGGTTCCGCTTCCGGTGCGGCCCCGCGGGAGGTGGGGGCGGGGAGGAGCGGGGAGCGGCTGCTGTGCGCCGCGGGTGTCCTGAGGGGGTAGGAAGTGGAATTTTGGGGTGAAGAAGGGCCGTTCCGCCGCTGGATGTAGGGCTGACCCCCCTGTGCCGGCTGAGGGCGGGGAACTGAGGCGGAGTGCCGTGGAAAGGGCGGCTGGAAGGAGATGTCAGCGCTCCTCGGGAGGTTTGGGATGGATAACGGGGATCTTCTCCAAAGGAACGGCCGGGCGCTGGGAGGGGCTGCCCGGGGAGGAGGGGGTGCAGATCGCTGCACCTGGAGGTGCTCAGGAAAGTGGCGATGAATTCACCTGATGCACCTTTGAGGTTTTTTCCAACCTTAACGACTGCGATTCTGTGTCCACAGGGAATTGCTGTGCATTCGTCTCATTACCGGCCGGGTCCTCACCTCCATCTGCTGCAGTCACAGCCCCAGTGGGCACCACGCAGAGAACACAGCACCACCAGCAGCTGCCACCCAAGGCAATGGTGCCAGCTCACAGCACAGGTTGGGGCCATAAGGTTCCTTCCAACCCATAGCACAGGTTGGGGCCATGAGGTTCCTTCCAACCCACAGCACAGATTGGGGCTGTAAGGTTCCTTCCAACCCAAGCTGTTGTAGAAGTCAAAATTCTTTACCCCCAGGCCTTCAGCTCCATCTTCACCATTGTGAAAGAGCCAGGAGCAGTGGCAAGGTGCTGGAGTGAGGCAAAGCTCCTGGTGCAGTTCAACCAGCTCCACACTCAATAGATTTTTGTGCCCAAAGATGGGCAGGATTCTGGAAATCAAACCTCTGAGGAATCATCCACTCTTAGTTGCTCCCCAAGGAAGGGTTTCCCCGCAGGAAGGGCTGTGGTGCTGTTCAGTCCAAAGGCCATTGAATGCCCAGTGTGGGTACAGCTCTGGACCAAAGGAAAGTGACGTCAGCCTGAGGCAGCTTTGGGGGCTGGACTCTGGTTTACCTTTGGAGCGTGGGGTCGCCACCAAAACCATGAGGAGAGGGAAAGTGGAGAGCAAACAGCCCCACAAAAGGGACAAGGGAAACCCCTGAAAGCCCTGACCAACCCATCAGGATGGTGGTGCGTGGGATGGAGGGAAACTCCAGCTGTGGAGATAAAATACCAGATGGGAAACCCCACGGAGCCCCTAAGACAGATCTTCCTCCTCCAGAGAGGCGGCGAGGACCTGGGGACTTGCCAATGTGAAGAACTCAAGGTGAAGGTGATTTTGGGGGGCCCGAAAGCACTGCAAACTCACATCTCTGTCACCATCCGGAGTGTCACCACCCACTGGCAGAGGAGGAGGCTGTGAGCTCAGGGTGCAGCCCTGCCCTGAGTGTTCCCAATGCCCTTTTGCCCCAGGCTGTAAAAGAACAGGGTCATGCATGAACCCCACACATCCTTTGCCCTGCTGCCCACTCCTTCAAGCAGGACCAGGCAACACCAGGGTCTGGAAGGAGAAATCCCACTCCAGAGCCTTCCCTGTGGCCTCAAGGAATGCGTCCTTGTCGGGAAACGAATTCTTGGCACTGGGAGCAATAACAGAAGCGAGCTCAGCTCGCTCCAGCAGCTCAGGGCAGCGCCCAGCACATATTTCCCCAGCAGTGCCAAGCTCTAAAGCACAAACAAACACCCGCACATACTTGGCACCCAGCTGGAACAGCGTGTCCCTGTGCAAACAGCCGGCTCCTGCTTTGAAGTGGACTGAGGGGATGACGAAATGGCTGATTTGGGGTGGGGGAAAGGGGAGCAGGATGTCTGACGACGGGATGACGGGGCTGTGGGGAGGGTCGGCGCAATGCTTTGAATGCCAGTGACGCCAGCAGCTGGAGGAAGCAAAGTGTGACATCAGGATTGATAACGTGGGCAAGTAACGGCTGCGGGCTCAGGGCAGCACAGCCCTGGTGAGGGGACACGTCACCAGAGCAGCTCTGTCCTCTGGAGGCACCAGGAGCCCCTGGCGCAGGGCATGGAATGGAGATTTCTTTTGAAAGAGGGGAAAACTCCTCCCCTCCTGTGCCTGTCACGAGGTCAGCTGAGACCCAGCGTGGGGCTGAGGCAGGACAGGGCCCAGGAGCCACTTCTGCCCTTCCCACTTCAAAGAAACCCCTTTGGGTTCAGGGAGCACCAAAAACACCCTTGGATACCCGGTGCTGAACACAAGACTTTTCTCCTGTTGGTTCAGCCCGACCCATCGCCCTCCTCCTTGCAATGCTTACACAGGAGCAGAGGACAAAGGCAAAACACCCCTAAAAGCAAAGGCAGAGTCCGTCATGCGATGGACGTGCAGACAACACTGCTCTGCTGCTTCGGGGACAGAACAGACGTCACCCACAGCGCATTACGGTCGTTTTAGGGAACTTCTCTTGCTGGTTCTCATCCTGTGTTGTCACAATCGCTTCCTCCCGCTGTGCAAACATGCCTGGCATTTCCAGCAAAGCAGGGAAGACGTGGTCAGAGTCACTCGCTCCCTCCCTGCCCCCAGCGGGCGCAGGCAGCAGCACAGGCGCAGCCCAGAGCTGCCAACGCCGCTTTGCATTTTTCACTGTTTTTCTCTTGTTTTTCCTCTTTTTTCTTTTTTTTGAAGCACAGCACGCCAGAAACGAGGACAAATGAAGATGTAAAAAATTATATATATATTTGTATATATGATTCGTATCTATTTACAATGCAGCTGGGACCAACAGCAGAGCATCCTAGCAGGCAGCGCGGGGCTGGGCGAGGAGCTGCGCGAGGCACACTGCCTGTCCCTGCCACACTCCTCAGAGCAAAGTCCACGGCTGTAGGGCCACGGCTCCTCGCCCAGGGTCACTGATGAGCCACCTGACAGCAGATGTGTTTGAGCACAGCCTCGCTCCCTGCTCAGAGCAGCAGCATGGGAGCGCAATAAAGTGCAGCTCTGTGAGCGACCCGGCCAGGATCACATGTGAGGAAAGCTGTGCGGTGCATCATCACCCACTGCCTCCCTCGTTTTCTCCTGATCCAACACAGCTCCCCAAAACCCACACGGCCTGCTCCACCTCTACAACTGGGCTCAAATCTGGCCTGGACTCGGTGCTGCCCTGGCACAAACCTCAGCCCCACCGAACGCCCCACACCTGGAGCTGCTTCAGCAGCACCAAGCGGGCACTGAGCGCGCCCCACTCTGCTGCAGCCACCACACTGACTTCATGGTTTGCTTTTTTTCAAGCCTGAAACAAAAAGGCAAGAAAAAAAAAGGACAAAAGGAAAAAAAAAAAAAGAACCTCAAGGGGTGCCTAACATTGCCAACACACGTTTGCCTCTACAATCTCTTTCTCCTCCCTGGGGTGCTGCTGTCCTGCTGCTCTGACACTCACACCCATCCCAACCAGCAGCCCTGTGCACGACTCCGGGCTCTGAGCAGGCAGCTCCATTCACAGCTGCAGGCATCCCTGGCAGAGGACAGAGCAGGAGGAGAGAAACTGCCTGCAAAGCCTCCAAGGCTGCTGCCTCCATTGCAGCCACCAACTCAACCACTTCATTAACAACTCTAACACACACACCTAACCAGACTGCAGGCCACGTATCGGCTTCTGCCACTTCCCCCTCCGCGTCTTCCCCTACAGACACCCAAAGAAAACAACACGATGACACCACACAACTCCTCTCAGTGCTCCTCACTTCCCTCAGGGTGCTGCAGGGAGGGATGCAGCACTGCAGGGACTGCGAGCAGGGATGGTTCTGAGCACTGTGAGAGGTAAGGCAGCAAACCTGCTCGCAAAAAGCAAACGTGCAACCGACTCCACCAAAGGTCTGCCTGCATGGCCTGGGCTACCAGCATCTCATGTTCTTCTTGGTTGTGGTGTGTGTTTGCTACAAATACTCGTATAACTATGTGGATTCTGGTGCTCCCAGCTCTATGGTACAGTGAAGTTCAATCCAATTAACCAAAAGAAAAAAGAAAACAGGAAAAAAAACCAGCCCGTGAGCGTGGGCTACCCTGCCAGTTTGCTGGCGACGAGTGAGGATTTTCTCTGCGGGAGGTCCTGAGGTTTGGGGATGTGGTCTCCTGTCACCAGGTTCTTGTCCGGCCCCGCAGTCGGCAGCTGTTTGTTCTTCATCTTCGCCTTGGCCATGTTGTAGTCACCAGAATCAAAGTATTTTTGCTGAAAGAGAAAAAAGGAGTTCAGGTTACTCTGAAGCACCCTGGGATGGCCAAGCTGCACACAATAGGCTACAACTCACACCTTTAAGAAGCTGTGACACCCAAAACTTATCACCGAAACAACATGCAAGGGGAAAGTCCAAGGCAGCTGTAGGGCCTTTATTTAGCAGCTCCCACAACGCCCAGCACGGCTCAGGTGTCTCAGCCCAGCCAGCAGCCTCCATCCCCATCCCCTCTCCTTCCACTACTTGAAGGGAGCTTATAAACACACGGGAGAGCAACTTCTTACACACGCAGGCAGTAACAGGACAAGAGGGAATGGCTTTAAGCTAAACGAGGGGAGATTTAGGTCAGACATGAAGCAGAAATTCTTCACCTAGAGACGGTGCAGCGCTGGCACTGCTGCCCACAGAGGTGTGGGTCCCCCATGCTGGGCAGCCTGAGCTGCCCACACAGCCCACGGTAGGGGTGGAGCTGGACGTCTCTTCCAACCCATTCTATGATTCTGTGATTCTAACAGTGACTGTGGAGCAGACGCTGCGTCAGCAGCCTCCTCCAGACAGGCTCAGCTACAGCAGCACAGCTGGGGGACATTTGCTGATTTAGTTTATTCCACTTTGGCAAACACGTGAGCTGTGGGTCAAAGGCAGGACGTCCTCCCCAGTGAGCGCAGCCCAGTCCACAGCCCAGACAGACTCCTGCAGCTGAAACCAAAGGGCCAAATGCCTGCAGAGATGCAGCCCTGAGACACCTCCCAGCAATGCTGAGCTGTGGTGCGAAGGGCATTCCACTCCCTCGCCATGACTCTGTGCTGCTCTGCCCTGCTGACAGCAGAGCAAAGGGCAAAAGGACAAGCAGAGTTTGGACAACGCTTTGAGAAATGCTGCTTGAACACTGGGTGGTCCTGTGTGGAGAAAGGATTTGGACTCAGTGATCCCTGTGGGTCCCTTCCACCTCAGGATATTTGGTGACACTGTGGTGCTGCAAACAGATCTGAAGGCCCCACAAAGCCCAGCCCAGTCCTAAACCCTTTCCCGCTTGGTGTTAAATAATTAAATCCTCATTTCTGTGCTTGCTTTAGGAGCTGGTACCTAAAACACCACCAGCATTCCTGTCAGCAATGCAGCACACACAGGGACTGCTCAGGCAGCTGCACCAGGACCAGCAGTACGGGGTGGCTGAGGCATTCAGCCATGCACACAACGGCTCAAAGGGATTTCTGCATCATCCTGTGCAAAGAGCCTTCAGCAGCAACCCAAGCAGCTGCAGAAGGCTCTTGGGGAAGGATTTAATTACTTTACCAGGGAGCGCAGCCATAGGATTGGCTTTTTCTGTTGACTTGCTGGCATCCCCCATGCCCTCTGCACCAGCCCAGAACATGAGCAAAACACAGAGCAGAGAGAAACACCTGGACACTGCAGAAGGCTGCGGGGATCTGCACATTTCTCCCCACATTTCCTTAATCCACACGCTCAATGGGATTTTGGCTCTACAGAGCTCTACAGAGAAGGGCTCAGGTGTCCCAGTGGCCACAAGTCAGCAGTGTGCCCTATGAGGGCCAGGGGGACCCTGGGTGCAACGCCCAGAGCACGGCCAGCAGGGCAGGGTGGTGCTCCTCCCCTCTGCTCTGCTCTGCTGTGGGGATGGCACAATTGGAGCTCTGGGCTCAGTGCTGGGCTCCCCAGTTCCAAGCAGGCTGGGAGGTGCTGGGAGAGTCCCATGTTGGGCACTGAACGTCACCTGATGGGGAATGGCTGAGAGCTCCGGGCTGCTCTCCTGGAGAAGACTGAGGGGGCTGTGAGCAGTATGAGAAAGGCGGGGTCAGGAGGACGGGGCAGTGCCAGGACAAGGAGGGCACAGGGCAGCCCCCACGGCTCTGTGATGCTGCGAGTGCTGACACGGCCCCGCTGCATGGAGAGCACGGAGCCCATAAGGAGCGATAAGTACCCCTTTCTGCAGCCTCTTCATGAGGAAGTCGGAGCCGCCGGGCTTCTGGCCCAGGTTGGGGTATTTGGCCTTCAGCTTCGCCTCCTCGGCCCGCTCCGGGATGACGGTTTCCTTTTCCTGCGAATCCTGAAAGACAGCGGTGGATGTAAAAGCTTCGGCCCCACGGCAGACCAAACGACCGAGGGGACCGATGTCCCTCAGCGCCCACACGCAGCCCGAAGGAGCGCACCGGGCGCTGCGGGTAACCGGCCCACACGGAGCCCCGCAACCCCAGAGTCCCACAAGCCTCTCCCGGAAGTCCCGCCTCCGCGCCAGCACCGCAGCCAATGAGAGGCTGGAACAACGGCGACAGAAGCCAACCGGTGAGCCGGGCAAGGAAGAGTGGCGTGCTGCAGAGCCAACGGGAAGCGGGAGGGCCCGCCACGCTGTTCCTCACCTGTTTCTCCTGCCCGGAGTCCTCCGCGCGGGCGCCGGTACCCAACTGGGCGGCCATGGCGGGGTGTGGCTGCCTTGGGGCTCCGCGCTACCTCTGCGCTCACTGCGCGCCGTTCGGCCCTGCGCTCTGCTCCAAAATGGCCGCCACCGCCCCCTGACGCCCCGGCTGCGTGACGGACAGGCACGTGCCCAATGGGCGCAGTGAGGAAGCCGTGGTGACGTCACGCACGACCAATGAGAGGCTGCGGGGGGCGGGGAAAAAGGCCGGGCTTGGCCACTCTGCGTGGTGCTGTCGGAACCAATGGGAAGTGAGAAAGCAAGGGAACGTGTGAGCTACTGAGCTTGATGGACAGTGAGAAGAACCAATAGGCAGAGCGGTCCGGGAAGAGGGGCGTGGTCACAGTCTGGGCGCTGGGACTGCTCTGGAAGCGGGCCCCCCCTGGTGGGCAGAAGGAGCACAGCAGAACCCGTAGCGCCCTTTACTCCCAGCGCCCCCCAGGTCCTCACCCCCCGCAATGCTCCCAAAGCGCCGCGAGGCCCAGTGCTGGCGCTGCCCCCGCTTCTCCCACCTCCAAATCCACGCAAAATAGGAGCTGAGCCACCATGGAGGCAGAGCACAGAGGGAACTGCTGCAGGATGCAAAGGAACACGTTCACACTGCCCAGGAGGGAAAGTGGGGGAGAAGAAGAAAAAAAAACACAAAACAGTGATAAAAAAAAAACAGTGTAAACTTTTCCCTTCCTCTCTGACACAGAGACCCTCGAGCTCCCCCCAGCACCTGCAGCCACAAAGGCACCAGGTCCCAATTCCAACACAGCGGGGTGGAGGAGGAGGCTCTGCATGCAGCCCCCAAGGGGCACAGGGCCCTTCCCAGGGGAGCAGCTCCACGCGTGGACCCACAGCCCTCAGCCACCTCTCGTGGGCCCACCATAGGATTTAGGCCCTGTTAAAGGCCGCCAGCACAGCCCAGATCACCTCTGTCCCTCTGCCCTGGGCTGCCTCAAGCTCCGTATCAGCCTCCAGCACATCCTTGGCTCTGCTCATGGCCATCTCATACTGGGTGTCCTCCAGGCTGCCCAAAGCCTTCTCCAGCACATCCGAGGTGTGGGCCAGCACCAGCAGCGCCAGCAGCCTGCGGTCCATGCGGCGCAGGTCCCCCGTCCAGCGCTCCAACACGCTGTCCTGCAGCTTCCTCAGCAGGCGTTGCTTCTCAGTGGTGTCACAGACGGGGTGGGTGGTCATGTCGAAGAGCAGGAAGCTCTGCTTCCCCGTGGTGAGGATCCCCTTCTCCACCAGGCCCTTGGCCACACGCTCACGCACGTTCCGCAGCTGATACTGCAGCTTGAAGGGGTTCCAGGTCTCGCCTGGGGAGAATCACGGAACCATGGGATCACAACAGAGTTGGGGTGGAATGGATAAGCAGAATGGCTTTAAGCTAAAAGAGGGGAGGTTTAGGTCAGATGTGAGGTGGAAATTCAACCCAGAGCAGTGTGGGTGCCCCAGCCCTGGAGGTGCTCAGGGCCGAGCATCCGTGCTCACGGCAGGGGAAGGGACTGCACTGTCTGCAAGGCACTTTCCAACCCAAGCCCTTCCAGGAATCTGCTCTTTTTTTCCCCCCTGGACCAACCTGTGAGCAGCTCTATCCAGGTCTGCACCGTTTCCGTGGACTCAGAGGCTTTGATGTGCCGGAGGGTCTCATCCAGAAGGACATCACCAGTGGGAGCAGCCGACTTCAGCAGCACCTGTGAGAACCAACCAGAAACTGTAAGGCCCAGATGTGGGCAGACACATGAGATGTGCCACAAATGGGGCATCGGTGGGCAAACCCATGAGCCAAAGCCATCCAGCACAGCACAGCATCACGGGGAAGCAACCCCGGGGGGCACACAATAGCTGGGACTCATTAAACCACCCCCCTGAGCCCCACTGCCATCACCTTCCTGTCCAGCAGCTGCTTCTTCCTGGCTGTGAGTGGCTCCAGATGGATGCGGCCCCGCAGTGCCAGCTCGATGAGGATGCCGCCGCGCAGACCAGGGGACAGGCAGTCGTTCCAGAAGGATGGGTAGCCCTGCAAGCAAGGGGACAGGCAGGGAGCTGGGGACAGGAGGGACGGGAGCCAGTCCTCCCCGATGCTGAACACCCAACATCCAGCCAAGAACATTTTCCTCCTTGGAGCCCCTGTCACAGTGTGAGCAGTGCAAGCCAATGCCATCCTGCCCTGTAGCATCCACAGTGCTGCCCTCAGGAGCAGGCAGTGACTCCTCTCTCCTCAGCGCTGTTCAGTTCCCCACTATGTTTGTTTGCACAGTGCTATAAACACTGCGTTGTTCAGCTCACGTAGCTGAGAGAACCATAAAGTAGATTTTAACTTTATTTGCTTTCTTCACTTCCTGGTGAGTAGAGACAAAGCAACTCTTCATGCTTGCACAACATGCCCCGCTTCCTTCCATCACGGCAGATGCAACGGATTTGTTTTGGTTTTTAGCAGGTGGAGTTAAGGAATAAATTTCCCAAGGAGAAAGGGTACAGATGTCACCAATTTAATTTGTTGGGTATTCCCACCCTGAATTTTAGGGGTAAGTTGAAAGCTCATGTCAGAATCATGACAGCTTGGTGCTTACGAGAATGAAACTGCATTGGATTTGCCTAAAATTGTCTGTTTTTTTCACCAGTCCAGCCATGAGCCCACAGGAGAGCTGGGGCAGCGCAGGGCCATGGAGCCCAGCTGGCTGCCAGGTTTCTGCTGCCCCATGGAGGAATGTGGAAGGACAGGAAGGGGGAAAAAAAAAAAACCACCAAAACCAAAGCAAGCATGTGAAAAATCTTTTTTTTTCTTTATCTATTGTGCTCACTTAATTTCCTGCTGGCCAAAGATCCATTCCCAGGAACACATTAACCACACAGAGAATGTTTAACGTAGCCCAGGGAGAATGTAAACTGCACCACACTCCCATGTGGCTCTCAAATATTTGCTCCAAGGTTCCTGCACAGCATTCTGCTCTCCTGTGCCTCCTGCTCAGCCCATGAGCCCTATTCTTACCCCGGCTTCCCAGGCAGGGCAGCCACCAGCCCACAGCTGCAGGCTGGGAGCACAAGGCGAATGGTCTGAGCTGGGCATTGTGCAGAGAAAACAACTGCAAAGCTCCCCCAGAGTAAATGCTCTGCAAACAGCAACACCACAACCGTGCACAGCCACTGTGGCTTCCCACCCCCCCCAAGGCAGAGCTGCTGCTGGGCAGTGCTTGCATGCAACCCTCAGCTGCCCCACAGAGCCCCACAGCTCCCTCTGAGCCACTGGTGGGGGGTGTTTGGGGGTTGTTTGAGCTGGGGAGGACTCGGGGTTAGAACTCAAACAAGCTTTCAGCCGCTGGAGCATCGCTCACCTCCTTGTCCTGCAGCCCCAGGAGCAGCACCTCCTCCATCAGCGTGAGGCGGGGGGCTTTGGAGTTGTCAGAGTCATCGTCAGGCAGCTCCCTGTCCGCAGCCGCGTCCTGCTCAGGCTCAGTCCTTTTGTCCCCACGCCATCCCCGACGTGTGAGCGTCGTCATCCCCACCTGGGGATAAAGAACAGAGGCGCCGAGAGCGAGGGGTACGGCAACAGCCCGACTCGGAGCATGGCCTCAGGGAGGACAGGGGCTCTCTGCCCCTCTTACCCGGAGCTCTCAGCTCACCTGGCCCTGGGAGCGGCCGCTGCCGCGCGGTGACGTGTTGATTCAGATGACTGCACCTCCAGGAAGGGAACCAGGAATCGCAGCCACCACGGGGACGTCCTGCCCTGAGGGCTTCCGGGCTGAGAGGGCTCCAGGGCCTGGGTCGGGTTTTGCACACCTGGAGCTGCTGCCAACCCTTGACGCTCACAGCGCTGCAGAGCCCACAGCGCCATCCCTCGCCTGCAGCAGCACCGCTCAGCACAGAGCAGCACCGCCTTTTTATGGCCCTCTTTGCTCTCACCATCGCAGATGAGGTCGGAGACAAGAACGTAAACTCCACTGACCACCCACAACAGTCCCCGTGTTTTATTAACGGCCCCAAACGCGCTCAAAGCATAAAAGAAAGACAGCAACCAACTGCTGAAGAACAGTGTTTTAATACGATCAAACGGGACAAATTCAAACGTGTCAAGAAACGTTCAGCTACCCAGACCAAGAGAGAGCAGCAGCTCTGAGCAACAGGCAGCATCTCTACAGCACATCCAAAGCCAACCATCGCTTTGGTGGAATAAAAGTGGCACCTCCTCCAACTCTTGCAATTAATCATTCCACCTGAACACACGAATCAACACACCTAAACTGAAACAGTTTCTTTTTTAAATCATCTCACGCCATTCTAACAAACAGCTGCCTACAATTAATGGTACGCAAGCAGCCATCCAGCTGCCTGCACTTGGCATGGGATATTAATTAATGGGATGAAGAGTGACTATACTTTGGTCTGGAAGAAATACAAAGAATCTGAGACCTCTAACAGTTCCAGTTCTGCTCTTTTTGCACAAGAAAAACAAAAACTTTAACACCAGGAAGCTGATCAGAATTGCAGCAGCATTCTGTGAGCGTTTCTTGACAGGGATGCAACCCCCCATAGAAACTCACTGCTCATTTCTCCGTCTGGGCTTCTTGATAAACTTCCTCTCCTTAAATCCACCCATAGCACAGGAAACCCCCCAAAGGAATTTCAGTATTAACATTCACGTTAAACACAAGGAGGAAGCAGTGGAGGAGCACCCTGCGAGGCAGACAGCAGGGGACGGGTGCCTAGAACTGCTCCTTCGGCTCGCTCATCTTCCTCCTTTTTGGCAGCACATCCTGACTGGAGGAAGGCTCAGCCTGGTGAATCTGCAACAGAACAGGGCCTGCGTTACAGCGCCGTCACGGAACTGAGCACGGGGAGAAGCACCGAGCGCTGGGGGCGGGGGACCCAACGCTGCCTCCCTCCCAAGGGCAGATTGCAGCACAGACGCCGCTGCTCCACCTGCAGGCGCAGCGGAACCCGGCTCCCTCCCAGCAGAGCGTCGAGGCGGCAGGGAGCTTTGCTAAGTCCATTCTCTAGCAAATATCAATCAATCCTAATGAGCTTTGCCTCAACCTGTGCTCAGCTTTCAGCTCTTTGGAACAGACTTGGTTTGACGCTAAGGATCAGAACGTGCTGATGTCCATCAGTCAAAGCAATGAGAATCCATTATTTCAGCATAAAGTGTGGCAAAGCCGACGGTTTTATTCACTGGAGCAGAAAACATCTCAAAGAAGTAAAGAAAAGCTGACACTCACAATGTAGGCTTGGAATAACTTCCCACTCCTCGTCCTGCTTTCTGACACATTAAGTTCAGAGGTCTTCCTGGCCAGATGATCAACCTAAAGAAAACAATCTGAAAATAAATGCTGCAAAGCATTTCCTAAAGCACTCGGGTACCTGGGGCTGTTCTGCCTTAAGGACCTTCAGCACCTGCGTCTGAAGTCATCCTCCACATTTAAATGAGGTTTTCCCATTTTCACCTTTCATACCTGAGGATTGGAGACGTACTGATTTCTTTTCTCCTTCAAAACTTCATCCCTTCCACAAGGAAAATCCTCCTCTGTAAGAAAGCAAAGCGAAGCACACAGTGAGCAATGCACTCCCAGCCTCACACCTCTGCAGGGCTCTGAGCTGGGGGAGGAATCGTGCACCACAGATAAAGAATGGGCGCTTCCTTCTGTTTCCAATCCATGCAGTTTTCCCTACAATCCACAGATCAGCACAGTGCTGCTCTTCTGCCATGCTAAACAAGCCAAGGATTGCAGGATGACAGCAGCATTATTTTAGACAGCTTTGTAAACCTCTTGTATTGAAATAAAACACAAGTTCTACCTTGAGCTTCCAAAGCATCTGCACGATCACCATCTCCTGCTTTGTTATCCAACGCGGGATCTTCCTGGAATGAGAAGGGGGCCCAATTACTGCAGACAGAAGCAGAGAGCTCCTGCTCACAGCAGTCAGATCTCCTTAGATGGATTCTAAGTGAAACAACACGTATTTATAAAGTTATTGAATCTGATACAGGATGTGCAGCCCAGCTCAGTGCTACTTCCCCATCAATGCAAGCAGGCAGAGATGGAACTCAGTCACTGAAAAACATCCGTCTGAAATGACTGCAATCCTAGAAAAAAACTTTGAGCACGTAACATCCTCCTTAGAGTGCCACAGAAACACTGCATTCCTTGTTCATAATGCCACACTAACAGATGCAGCAGAATTAATGGCCCCTTTCTACCACACAGATCGAAAACAGTTCCGAAAGCTGCAGCAGCACTCGAGTTCTCACCTTGATGTGCTGGCTTTCTTCTGCTTCATCTCCATCCACCGTGAGCACCGGCAGGGGCAGACTGGGCTCTTTTTGCTTCAGAATGCTTTCATCGCAGTTTTCTACTCTCTGTTTGTCAGTTGTGACTTTCACTTTCAGCATGTGGAACGGCGTTGGCACCTCACCCATGTTCAGGTACATGGGCTCTCCCTCGAATATCATCCCCTCACATTCGCTCTCCTTGAAGCCAGGGGGCTGATAATCAGGTGGTGTAACTGCAGGAGAAAAGCAGCTCAGCTTACGGGGTTAAGAGACTTTTCTGCCTTCAATACAAAGCTGTTAAAAAACGCGTGTGGGAGGAAAGGAATTACTAATTTTCCACTCGTACTAAATGAAGTTCTTTCCCTCTACAACCGTTTGAAACAGTTCACGCAGGCAAGCAGATGAGCTAGAAATTCCTCTAAAAAGCAGCAGCTGCTGCCAGACATTTAGAGGGCAGCACCAACTGGCACACAGCACTTCCTAATGCACTCAGAACAACCCAGTTTGTCCTTAAAACTCCCACTGCAACCAAGTCAGCTGTAAGGCCGTATTCCTGCTGGGAGATCAGATCAGCACCCCCTGCACTTTAGAAACCGTCCTGAGAAATAACCAAGCCCCAGCAAATGTAAAGATTACACGTGAAATTCTTTCTTTTAATCGCTCTCAAGGATCTCGGCACAGCAGATCAGTCGAAGCGATGGGGAAACACCACCTTCATCATAGTAGAAGAGCTTCATTGTCAGGCAGACGTCGTTTGGGAGCGGGCCCAGGTTCTGCATCAGAACGTAGATCTTGCGGATGAGGAGGATGCTCGCCTTCTTGGTGTCTGCACAGCTGATGGCAGAATCGCTCTGTTTGTTCTTACTGCAAACAGAGAACACTCAGCTTTCATACAGACTGAAGTTCTGCTGTTTTAAGGCACGCAACTGAGAACTGCGCGAGTTTAAATGCTGAAATGATTCACTGTGTTTTAAAACTAAGGCTAAATAATGGACCACGCTGATCTAGAATTACAGACAGACCAAAGAACTCCTGGGCAGGGCAGGCTGGCAATACCTGCTGAGGTTCAGGACCGGCCCGTTGGGGGTGTACTTGAATTTGAAGTGGTAACATTCTGTAATTGTCTGCAAACAAATGCAGTAATTATTAAATTATCAGTTGTCAAGGAAGCCAATAATGCTGCTGCTTCCATCCAGTCCCCGACTGACCTTTATTTAAATCACAGTCCTTAACTCTCATCCAATGCATTTGAAATACTGCATTTGAATCCTTACCAGATTTAACACGCACAAAGTCACCAAGGCTCAACGAAGCTGAGCCAGGGGCTGCCAGGATGAATTCACGTGAAAGAAACTCCAAGATTTAGTCTGGAGTTTTCTATCCAAACATTCCTGCTCTGCCAGATTTACCTGAGGATCATCCGGGTGGGTGTAGACCTGGAGGTTTGAAAGGAAGGGCAGGGGACAGATTAAGACCCACACACACATCCGAGCACCAACCTTTAGACACAAGGGCTTTACTCTTCTACCACTTACCGCCAGGACGACCATTCTTAGCTGTGAGAAGCAAAAAGAACAACATCAGATGTGCTCAGCCCACTTCCGCTGTTTTGTTTCTTCAGCTCTCAAAACCAACTACGACCACTCCAGGCCTACTCAAAGCAATCAAGCTCTTCATCCGTTCAGCTCATCTCTTTGAGAAAGGATTTGCTTATGTGGCCTCCAGAGATCGAGCACACAACAAGCAGTACCCTGAACTCCCACACTTTAGCTGTTTCAGTGCATCACAGAACAGTTTTCCTGTAACCAGAGACTCCCCTGGCTGCAGTGGCAAGCAGTGGAATCACATACACGAATATTTAAATGCACTTCAAATAGCTGAATAACACTGGAAGACTTACGTATTTCTTCTGCAAGGCATCGTAGCATCCCAACATCCTGCAAAAAGCAAACATTGCCCAGCTAGTCCTGATTCCTATTAGCTTCACCTCTAAGGACAGCCTGCAAATGCACCTCTTCCTTACGGCTCTTCTGAATACATTCAACCCTCAGGAATTCTCTGTGGTGCGTACACGATGCAGTCCTGTGCCTGCAACCATCCACGTGTTCACAGCACTGTTTCTGATGCCTGACTGCGTGTTATGATGGATAAAAGCATGACAAGAACTTAGCCACAACCAGATAGTGAAGATCGGGCACTAAGAACACGAGCTGGGCACTTGCTTGCTTCCACAGGGTGAAGCTTTCCTTACAGTTGCTAACTAGAGAGCTACCTTTCAGAATTCACACACTGTAACTGCTGTGTGAGTGTGTGGTCAACGTACCATTTCACCAGCTGAGTCGAGCCGGGGCAGTTTTTGTCTTCCCTTAAGATTTTGACACAGAGATCTCAAAAGAAAATGAAAAAGCCATCTTTAAGGACAAAAACCAACAACACTGGAAGCGAAGCTCGTTCTCCAGGCACTCTGTTAAGCATAGATTAAAGTGCAAACGCTCTTATTGCTCTATCAGCATCACTGCTATCTTTAGTAACATTCAATAACGACCGTACAG